TGGTTAATAATGCAACTGGTACATCTAGTTCAATTCAACATGCAGTCACTTAAGTGTGCCACAGTCAGTCAACAGGCAGACAGGTAGCAAATCCATCACACCACCTAAGGTCTTACTTTAATCTTACCTTTTATCCATAACTTTAATCTTACCTTTTACCCATAACCAGCTGTATTAAATTACAGAGTACATTTCAGATTTTCCATACAGATACAATGATCATGAGAACCTGCATATATGTCCACTCCAGACTCACTCCAGTCCTCTTGCAGAATTACACACCCCTGCTGCCCACTGGCTGTTTTGTGAGAGTTTAATTCATTAGGCTAAGGAACTCTGAGATGTTCTGAATTTATATAAAAGACAATGAGTTATGAGTCTACATACTAACAGGCAATGACATAAAATAGTTAATAAATAGTTAAATATAATTTCTGCCATCAAAAAAGAATCCTCTCCTTTTAGAAGTGAATTTTAGAATTCAATGTTGTTTGCTACTCAAATCCCACTTCTGTTTAGAAAAGGGAAACTACAAAGTCATCTGCACACTCCATTTTTTCTTAAGAGGCAGTACCTCCATACACTTGAAGTTCATGGACTACCAACTAGAGGGGAACAAATATGTTCCAATATTGGAACAAAATAACCAACAAAAACCCCTAAGCCTAAAAACTTCCCTAAAAGTATTAGCTATTAGGAGGGAAAAAGGAAAGCAAATCACAGCAAGCCCAGTGAAATAACCACCAGCTGGCTTTGTCAGACAGCTCCAATGGGCATTCCCCTGCCGCCCACTCCTGTGTGCTCAAGCTCCAGCTCTTACACAAGTATTACATCAGTAACTCAGTGTGATTTACTGCAGGTTGTGTTATGAAATCCGTGCAAAAAGTTCAAGTCTGACCATATTTTGATAAATAAAATAATTAAAATAGTGTTTAAAGAACCTGCATAGCTTATATTCTTGTCACAATGTTGTCTTGAAACTAGGCTTTTTAACTAGAATGTTGCAACAGCCAAGACACACAAGTTAATTATAAGTTAACACCTTACGTAAAAGGCAAAACCTGCCTTGAACTCAATTGAACTTGCCTTGAACTTACTCATCAATGACTTGAAGGAGTAAACTGCCTCCTCAGCAAGTTCACTGTGACACAAGGCTGGGAGGAATGGCTGATGACCTCCACTGCTCCCTTCCAACCTTACCCATTCTGTGAGTCTGAACTCCTACAGGACAGCACATGCAGGACAGTGCAGACCCACTCAAATAGCACTCTATCCTATTACAATTTTATGCTTCACTTTTTCAAGCTAAAAACCCTTAAAAGGCTAAAAATCTCATTTTGCTATTAAAAAAATTAAGGGCATGTGCTGTCTTTAGTCCTCAAAACTGCCACCTCCACAATAATCCAGAATCTCATCACAGCTACCACTGACACCAATTCTACAAAAAAAAACCCAAAGTGTCTCATCTAGTTGAGGCAAAAGAGATATTTGGTCTAACATCTACCTGAAAAGAGAAAAAAAGTAGAAGATAGATTTTCCCCTTCTTTTGTTATCAAGACTTTTTCAGCAAATCTTCCTAGATATCACATACTGTTTAACTTCTGAACTCCAACAACAGAACTGACCTACAAGGGGCTCCTGAAGTCACTCCTGCTTGCTTTAAGGCTTGTTACAGAAAGAAATCTGGATGCAAACACCACAACCCTTTCTTAGGTGCACCTTATACCCCATACCAGCTGATGCACAGCAGCTGACATGTGTAACTCCAAGGCATCACAAAGGTTACATGTAGGTTGATACATTTAGGTTGAAGCCGATCATGAAGCAATTTGAACTTCGGCATTAAATGCTGATACAGCAACATAAGGTTGTGCACAAAAACACTCTATAAACACACTCTCTCCCTCTCCCACATGTATGTAAAAGCTGTAAAAGAAGAGGGTACATAGAACCAACCAGAGAGTGTCAATCAAAGCAACTGAAGAGCCAGGGTTCAAAACAGTATAGCTTTTCATACAGTGAGCAGTAAACCTGCAGAACACAAAGTCCTTAGGCAAGGAGGCCACAGAAGGATTTAGACAGATTCAAGAGAAGGTTACAGAAACACTTGGAAGAAAGCCAATTAAGAGTTACTGAATACATAATCAACTTGTAGGCACAGAAGGTTCAGGGAGGGGAGTAGACAGGCAAGTCTTGAACTTGTAGCTCTGTCATGCACCACAAGTATGAGGTTTTAGCCATAATGTCACAGGGCAACAGACAAAAGGGCTGGAGGACTGTTGGCCTGAGCAAGTCCAAGCAAGTGGTCTCATGTTCACACCCTCTAATTTGGTCTCCTAAAGATGCTTTCCAACTTCAGCTCTAACTGATCAGTAGTTGCATCGTTAGTGAAACCAGCAACCTGTTCTCCTAGGACTCAAAAATATTAGTTCCAGAGTTTAAAAAACTCTAGTTATAAAATACTAAGAACTGCAACAGGGCTCCCCAGCAATCCATTTAAATCTACTTCCAGTTTGAAAGAGTCTCTGTGCAAAAACTCTTATGTTCATGTATTTTAAACTTAACACCTAATAGTGCTAAATATAATTTGAAACAATTGGATTTAAACTTAAGCTCTTGAATAATTACTTAATAATTAAATTCCTCTTCAGAAGTGTCAGTGAGACTGGAGAGCACAGTTCTGATCTTAACAGGTGCAGAGACATAAGCATGCCTTGTCTCAAACATTGACTGTGATGACAGGTAAGACATGATCAGAGCAGAGGGTGCAGGAGAGGTGAGGCAGTGGTGTTCTGAGCCAAGTTCCTGCTTCACCTGGAGACTCCTGCTCAGCACCCACCCCCGACTCACTCCCTGGAGGGGAGGGGACTAAGCTGTGTACACGTGAACAGAACGGCACGAGAAACGCAGTTTACATAAGGGTCTGCACCAAGCTACCTATAAAAGGGAGCAGATCAGACACCTTACTCTCTGTCTTTCACACTCACACTTTGCCCCAGCTCTGGAATATCCATGCAGCAGGACCAACACTGAATCTAAGGACTGGTGATTTTCTGTGTTAGCTTTCTCCCTCTTTTGTCTCTATCTCTCTCCCTGTGCTTTGTTTGAGCAAAGCACAGCTATCATACTTTTTTACTCCCATACTCTTCACTCAAGTTTGTTGTGGGAGTGGGGAGACTGTGAAAAGTGGTATGTTGAATACCAGAGTGTTGTGGCTCGTTAGCTGGCACCTTCAAGGATTTTGCTGTGGGAACTGTAAAGTTATTGAAGTGTATTATATTGTACAAATTAAGGCCTTGTTATCCTCTTGTGAAAGTCAATTGTATGAACTTATGAGCTTGTTTGCTAACACCTTTTGGGTCTAAATACTGGGTTGGTTGCCAGAGTTATGGCCACTGTACAATAAAACCTACAGTTGCCTGACACGCGATCCTGTGTCTTTGTTCAGCCTGGTGGGAATTGATAACCAACATTGTGACTAAAGCCTTCTTCAGAGCTTAAAATCTATGCTTCCTTAGATCATAAGACATGGCTATCCAGTCATAATTCCACAAATCCCACAGTTTCATTACAACCCCAGTCATTTTAAGCCAGGTGACCTACCGAATATTTTCCAGTGCACTTGTTAGCTGCTGCTGTGCAATATCATAAAGTTTCACTTTGAAGCCTCCAGCAGCAAACACCATGGCCCAGCTGCGACCAATGAGTCCACTGAAAAGAAAAAAATTAATAGCAGACAATTAATAAGCAAGCATTTATTTGGGGGTAGAAAATCTTGCAAGCATTCCAAGAAGGAAAATACAGCTTAGACTCTTCAATATTTGATTAGAAGATCAGTTACATATTGATAAGAAACAAAACTCTGTTAACAGGGAAATATCCTTTGCTAGCTGTGTATAGCAGCTTCTCTGAGAACTGGGAGTAAGATAATGGGGAAGAAAAAAGCCAAAACAAAACAGAGAAAGGACAGCAGAATTCAATAGGAAGAACCACTACTTTGGGACACTGGACTCAAGTATCAGCAGTTTTGTCAGCCACAATCTTAACCTGGAGTTGGTGCATGGAATTACACTAAAGAGAATTTTTAAAAAACCCAAAAATATACCAACCAACTAAAATTATTTGTTCAGTTCAATGTCTTCAGACAGACAGCAGTCTGCTAGTCTAAGAGTTCAGGATCCTGCTTCAGAGGTGAGCAGAAAACCTAAGGCCCAGCTACTGAAGTCATGGGTCCTCAGCAATTCAGAAAGTACCACAAGCACATGAAAAGGGAACAACATCCTCAATTGACCAAGGGTTTGATACTACTTTTCCACCTAGTCACCTCTAGTACCACCTTTATTATTAGATGAAGCACTTTATCACACTGGATACACACAGGAACAGTCTTCCTACATCTTTTGGTGAATTCATATTACTGAGTAATACATAGAGGAAACTTCCATTAACTGACAATTTTATCATGTCTCTTGAAGCAATAGAGGTTTTCACTTAAATGTACAGCAGTCATCAGCCTGTTCAAATGGAAGCACTGAGGCACAGTGTCATAAGCTTAAGCAACCCGAGATCACAAAAAATAATAATAAAAAAACAAACATGAGAGACAGGATCAGAACTCCATACTCTCTTACAGTAGAGTTTTTGATAACTATATTACAAGCATTTCCTATTTGCAGCATTAAACTTATCTCTGGCAATTGGAAAACGCAAGGCCACTAGGGCATCTATAGAAGATTAAAAGCAGAGCAAAAGTCAGAGATAAAGCAGTAGGGCAGATGAGAAAAGAAGGAAGAGAAAACAGGAACATGTTCAGCCTTTGGTTTATGTATATATTTTTTTAAAAGGATAAAACCAGGAAGTTTCAGGAAATCACAGAAATCACTGGAAATAATTGGGGCGGGAAAAAAGCGCAAAGCTTTGCATTTAGTGTTGTTAAGGCCTCGCTCAAGACCTAACATTTAAAAGTAAAGACACAACTTCACTGTAGTAAGCCCAGCATTTATCACTTCTCAGGCAAGATACAGAACCAACGTATGGAAAAGGTAAGGTACAGGTCAAGGTTTGTTAGCTACTGTAGCCTCCTGGCTAACAAGTAGTTATAAAGTAAAAGCACTTGGATCATTTAAACCTTAAACAAGCAGATCTGAGCTACCAGTACCTTTATAAACTAGCATCATCTCTCTAAATTGCACTTTTACATTAATTTCCCTTAAAACAGTGTTTGACAAAAAAGAAAAGAGTTTATTTCAACTTACTACAGGTTTATGGGATTGTGGGGTTTTTTTGCTGAACTACAGAGCACACAAAGTAAGTCAGTGGTAGGTATCAGAGCTGCACCATAACTCCATTGTAAATGACAGCATCATTACAACCTGATGTTAGCACATTTGCCCCCAAGACACAGCTTTTTGACACCTGAAGCACTGACACTTGTCATTTTATATCCAGTGATAAAAGTATTAATGATCAGATCTGCTCACACAACTTCTACAGGTGCTACCAGAAACAGGATGTTTTGCTTTCAGTGCAATAGGGCCCCTGCAGCCACAGGGAGCAAAAGCCCAGCTCTCCCAACCCTTCACACATATCTATGGTAAATAAAAGTTCCCAGAGTGCCAGTGGCAAGAGCAAGTTTTGTCAGTGTCACACAACAGCACAGAGACATGCATCCTGAGGCTTCAAGTGGTCTCACTAATGAAGTTTGCTGCAGCCCACACTTCTAGCACCAAGGCATTAGCCCCATAGTACATATGGGGCTGTTACTTGCACGTGTTTTCTCTCCCCACCAGATTATTGTTCAAGTAAAGAACTTCAGGTGTAGCTCAGCAAGAGGATGAAACAATGCATTTCCACACAAGCCAGAAAGACTGCTGTGGCAAGTATTCCTTCAAGAGTGTCTGAGAGGAACTTAGGAACTTCTTGACATAGCTGAGAAACAGGATGTTAAGGCTATGCTTGAACTTCTCCACTCCCTTTGCACTTACACACACAAACCATTCCAATGAAAAAGGGCAGTCGTCTTTCAGACCTAAAGGCAGACCTGCTTCAGTACAGATGATGTGGATGGTCGCTGTATGTTTCCACGTAGCACAGAGCTGTCAGGGACTTCAGCAAAGACACTCTTAACGAGCCAAACAACTGCATCCCCTCTTGGCTCCCGAGATCCAGCAGCAGCAGCACGACCCCCGCTGCCCCAGCACGGGACACACACGCCAAACCCACCAGCGTCCCCGAGCGAGCCCCAGCGGGGACAGCAGAGACAGGGCCGTG